AGTCTTATTTTATGATTAGTTTATATTTTCTAGGATTTTTAGGTCAAGGGTATTTTGGTAATATTTGTTGACATGGGTTGTGGTCGCCCATGGATTCTCTCGTGAGTCATGCTATTTAATTAGTTTTATTTATGTTTCTTATTTGGTCTTAGATTTTGGAAGTCAAAATATTGTAGTTTCCTATTTTAGAATTCTAATTGGTTTAAAAAATCTCCTAGTTCTATATAAAGTTTTTAGAGCTTTTGAAGCTTCTTTTAGGTTTGTGTGATGCAACCCTAACCCTAGGTGTGATGCCTAAGGGATTCTAGGAGTAATTCATAAATCTATCTTCTCTTTTTTCTTCTTTGTGCACGTACCCTAGTTACTATTCTCGAATTACTGCTCACAGCCCTCTAAAAGTGCACTTTTCAACCTGAAAACCCTATTCAATCACCCAAAAATCAACCCTAACCCCTTCCCTTACCTATTAGCCTTCAATTTAACCCTTAAAAATCAAAATTACTCACTGTTTAGGCCATCATCAAATAACCTCTGTTTTCAAAATCCAATGCTATGCTACATCAATGCTAGTAAGTCATCTAGCAGTCAAAGGAAGAAAAAGAGGTAATTTCTTTTAACTACTTTTAAGTAACAATAGAGCACCTTTGTGCATAGTAAATTGGTTGTTTTTTATTTCTCAATGACATTAAAAATCTGTGCATGGAATGTTAGGGGTCTAAATGATCTCACTAAGCAAAGGGAAGTTGCAAATATTTTCTGTAATGAGGGCATCGATATTGTGGACCAGCTGGAGACCAAAGTCCTTTCTAACAAGCATAAAAACATTTTGAATCGTGTGGTCAAACACTGGAAAAGTCATACCAACAATGACAATGCTGCCCTAGGTTGGGCATGGGTTGCTGGAACCTAGATTTTTGTAACATTGATGCCGTTGATCAGTCAGACCAATTTATTTTTTGCAAAATCCATGTCTTTGATGGGGATTTTTACTTCTTCACATCTTTTGTTTTTGCCTCTTCTGTTTATGCGAATAATACCAATAGTCTTAGAAAACCTCTTTGGAATAAATCTGACAATATTGCTCTTAACATTAGCAATTTTCCTTGCATTTTCTTGGGTGACTTTAATGCTATCAGGTTTCCTTATGGTGAGTGGAGATTCTAATTGGTCTTCTTGTAAAGAAGAAATTAATACATGTGTTACTATTTCTGAGCTTGATGACCTTAACTATGGTGGATGCCAATTTACCTGGCTAACAAACAAGGTAGTTGGAAGTACATCACTTCCAAAATTGATAGGGTTATGGTTAATGAGAGTCAGATGACTTCCTTTCCAAACTCTCATTCAAATTTTCACTCCTAGTACCTCTGACCACTCTCCCAGTGTAACCTATGTTCCTCTTAAGGGTGATAATCCTAGGAAACTTTTAAATTCTTTGATTGGATTGACCAAACTCTATGAAGCACGGACACCTCTCCAGAGATCACATACAGGACACGTGCTGGGCACGCTCCGGACACGTGTCGGACATGCTAGAAAGAGTTGGACATGCTGAGACAATTTGGACACGCTGAGGACACACAAGAGACATGTTGAAGACACGCCAGGAACACACTGAGTACTATTCTTTTCAAAAAAAAATTAAGATTGCGTTTAGTAGAGTTTTAGAATTGTGATTTAAGAATATAGTTGTATTTTAAGTTTATGAGTTTTGGAATTATGATTTGAAAAAAAGAATTTGATTGGTTATGAGTTTTAAAAAGATTTTTGAATTGAATTTTGAATTTTTGATGCGACATATGAATTAAGAAAATTTGTTTGATTATGAATTTTGAAAAGAGTCTTCAGAACTTAATTCAAAAAGTTATAACTCATAACTAAACGCACAACTCAAAACTCTATTGCAAATTCTATTCAAAACTCATAACCAAACTCTTTTCAACATTCAATTTTAAAAAAAAAAATTGTCATTTTGGTGTAAAAAAATAAATTCTATATTTAAAAAATATCAAAAACAAATATAATTTTTTTTTCTCCCAAATAACAGGTGGCGATTGGCAATTGCAAAAAAAAAATTTACACTGTTCTGGTCAATCGGCCGGACGTTCAAGGGGACATCCGGGAAGATGACCGAGTAGACACAAAATTCAAAAACTCCACTGCTTTTCAAAATGGAAAAGACGAAAGAGAGAGATATGCCAAACGTGAAACAGAAATATGTTTTGAAATGTGTGGTGGAATCACATTTTCAAAACTCCATCCAAAAGGAGGGTGCAAATGGAGAGGTGAAATTATGATTTGAGAGCTTCACCAAACACAACCTAAAATTTTTTATTTTTTACTAAAATAGCATACCTAAGGTTGATAGATTTTATAAAATTAAATATTTTACATAAAATATATATTAAATATTTAAAAATATACATATTATAAAAAATATAAAAATATATGTTTTGAACGTGTCCCCAACGTGTCGTGTCCTGTATTTTTTAAAAATTTATGTGTCCAAGTGTCCGTGTCCATGTCCATGCTTCTTGGACCATACTAACTTCCCTTCTTTGGTTGAGGGTGTTTGGTGTCTATGTGCAGGGCTTGATGATGTTTAGGATACACAATAAGGTCAGAGCCATTAAACTTGATTTGAAACTGCTTAATAAAAAGGAGTTCAGTGACATCTGTTAGGGCCAATTGTATCAAAAAATGAATTGGATTTCATCCAAGTCAACTTTGACAAGGATCCTTTAAATCTAGATCTTCAGTGCCTTGACAAGAATTCTTTTAATGTGAACCTTAACACTACTAATAGTGTCCCTCTGGATAATCCTACTTTATATCGAGTGCTTGTGGGTTGCTTAGTCTATCTAACGGTTACTCGCCCTAATCTTGCCTATGTTGTTCTTGTGGTTAGCCAATTCGTTTCTACTCCTCGTTCTACACATTAGGCTGTTTTGATTAAGATTCTTTGCTATGACTTGTTGTTGACTTCTACTTCTTCCTTAGACTTGGCAACCTATGCTGATTTTGATTGGGCTAGTGATGTCACTAACCGCAAGTCCACTTCTGGCTTCCACATGTTTCTTCGTGATTTCTTGCAAAAAAAAAAAATAGACTGTCGTTACTCGTTCCACTGCCGAAGCTGAATACCGTAACCCATGCCACTACTGAGATTGTTTGGCCTTGATGTCTCTTGATTGATTTTCGTGTACCTCAATTATCTCCGACCTCCCTATACTGTGACAACCGTAATGCTATTCAGATCGCCCATAACACTGTCTTCCATGAGCGGACGAAGCACATTGAGAATGATTGTTAGTTTGTTCGTCAACATCTGTAATCTAGCTCCATCGTGCTTCCTTTCGTCTCTTCAACACTGCAACTTGCTGATTTCTTTACCAAGACTCACACCGCTAATCAGTTTCAGTTTCTTCTAGACAAACTCTCACCGTTTTCTACTAAAGCACCTTGAGTTTGAACAAGGGTGTGAGAATATTATGTTAATTGTGTAAATATATTATACTGATTGCATGAATATTAGATTGATTGTAAGAATATTAGGTTTATTCTTAGGTCTAGAATTACTATATAAATCTGATTGAATATATAGATTCATTCGGAAACTTACAGGCCTTTGTGGTTATTTCAAAGGGTCTAGGGGGTTAAGACAAAGGGACCCACGAGTATGTTAGGATGTAAACCAGCGGCTACTCCTACTAAGGTCAACCATCAGGTTAAAGGTGAAAAGGGTAATTCCACAAATAAGGAGTGTTATCAAAAGTTGGTAGGAAAGCTTATTTACTTATCTCGCACATGACCTAATATTGCCTATGCAATGAGTGTTGTGAATCAATTCATGCACAATCCTCACAAGACTCACCTAGAGGTAGTTTTTTTAAACTTTGAGATATCTCAAGTCGACTCTAGCAGTAGGTTACTCCACGGGACTGCATTCAAATGCTTCTTATTAGGTTCAAAGGGTTTGGGATAACCAAGAGAACAAAAACAATGTGGACAAGCATTGTTTTTGCTATTTTCTGGGCTATAAGGTTTGAGGGCAATGTTAGAATCTTTGATGGAAGTGTCGAGGCTTTGTGGGATATGGCGAAATATTTGGCTTCATTTTGGGCATTTGTATCCCCTCCAATCCCTTTGTTCTTGATCTCTAGCGATTGGGCTACTGTTTGCCATCCCTAGAGCTAGGAGTTTTGTGATTTTGTTTTGATCTTTCTCTTTCTCTTTCTTTGTATGAGGACTTCCTGTCCTCTTTCACTTTTCTTTTTCAATAAAATTTTTGTTAATGCTCAAAAACAAAACAAAGGATATTATTTTCCAATCAGGGAGATTTGAAAGTTGAAGCCTTTAATGATGCAGATTGGAGAGGATCTATAGATGATTGGCGTTCAAACTTGGGTTATTGCACTTTGTCAAAGTGAACCTTGTTACATGGAGAAGCAAGAAGCAAGAAGCAAGTTGTTGTTGCTAGGTATAGTGCAGAAGTTGAATATAGAACTATGGCACAAGGAGTTTGTGAGCTTCTGTGGCTTCAAACTCTGTTGAAATACTTGGGATTGGTGTGTGACGATCCTATGAAACTATACTATGACAATAAGGCTGCTATTGATATTGATTATGATCAAATCAAACATGTCGAGATTGATCACCATTTTATTAAGGAAAAGTTGAAGAAAGGTCTAATTTGTATGCCGCCTGTGAAATCCGGAGATCAACTTGCAAATGTCCTTACCAAAGACCATGCTAGTAGGTGTTCTCATTCTCTTGTATGCAAGTTGGGCATGAAGACATATACGCACTAACTTGAGGGGGAGCGTTAAAGTTTATATTAGTTAATGTTATTTCATTAATGGCACTCTTGTTATTTCTCAAACTATTTAATATAAATACCTGGGTCTAGGGATGAGAAGTGCATCTCATTCGACAACCTTATCTTTGTATTACGTTCTCCTCTCCATCTCTTCTTTTCTTCTCTTTTCTTTTTCTAACTGATTTTTGCGTTCAATTTACATCAAAATTCCAGAGTCTGGAAGGTACCATATATTTACTTGAAGGAAACTTGTATTTGACGGATAAGAATTTAAAATAAAATTCAGATTGAATAACTTAAAATATTGATTGAAGAGAAAGCACTTCCAAAACGAGTAAATAACACCCCAATATGATTTGCTCCTGGCTAAGGTTGCCAACCGAGGGGGAAAAAATGCATAAACAGTAGAAAGGATTCTAAATAGAAAACCACATAGCAAATAACTCTTACAGATGAAATTCAAACAATTATAGTCAACAGGTGTATATGAAATTCTAATTGCTAAGATAGCTATTATTGGAACAAGAACGTATACAATGACAAAAAAAAAAAAAGGAATTATACCAATGTGTCTGACCAATCGCAAGTTCTTAACCTTTCCATATTTGCTCATAGCCTGAAACACACAAAAAATAAATAAAAATAAAAACCAATGAAGATTCCATATAAACCCTCATTTGATTGTGGGAGTAGTAAACAAAACATATAAATAAATAAATAAGAAATTAAATGAAAATGAAAAGCTTGTAGTGTCTTTGAGTTTTCCGAATCAAATTTCCAGGGATTCTATTTCCCGGAAGCCAAACAAAGGAGGTGAAAAGTGAAGTAAATGAGAGCTTACCTTGCGAAGGGTTTGTTCAGTGGTGAGGTGAGAAAGGCGACCGACGAAGATAGTGCAATAAGGGTCTCCAATGAGCTTTGGATCGCCAAAGGGGTCGTCTGAGAAGAATACCCCAATTATTAGTAGTTTTGTAGGCTAGGCTAGGCTAGGCTAGAAATAATAGACCCGAAGAATTGAGAAGTGGATAATTAATTATTCAGAAGAAGAAGATAAAAGAGATATGTGTGGAATGGAATGGAAAGGAAGACGTACAGAGGCCAGCTTGGGAACAGAGGAGAGCTCTGTAAACGGCGTTGTCATGAGGGAGGATGTCAGTGCCGTCAATGCTTCCTGCCTGAATCGGATGGTATGTCTTTGCGTAGAACACTGAGTTTACATTCCCACTCATTCTCTCTCTCTCTCCCTCTCCCTCTCCCTCTCTCTCTGTGTGTATCAACCAAAACTACAAATTGTTCGGATCCTCTGTAGTATTTTTCTTAGAGTCACCTTATCAGAAAAGAAAAAAATAAAAATAAAAAAACAGCACAGACGAAGCAGAAAGGGAGAAGCACCAAATAAACAATGATCCCCAAATCAAAGGAGTTTCTATCTCCACGCACCAAACCTCCTCTACACAAGCTTAATGATATTTAATTTTGAGCGTTGCTATTATCACTTGTCAAAATTTTTTAGATTTCTTATTTTATAATTTTTTTTTTATTACAATAATATCTTAAAATAAAATTATATTAAAAGATATTATTAAATGGAACACTCACCTATCAATTAGAATTAATACTCTATAATATTGGACATCCACCCCCATCTCCACCCCCAACTCCAATTATACGTATTCCATATTTGTAAACCCTAAATTTATTACTTTTTATAACTAACTAATATAAATCCTAAATCTATTATTTTTTATAATCATCTTAAATCTTGAATGTGTCATCTTTATCACCATCATCGACGCTATTGAACTTGAAAGTTTTGTTTCAAGTATAACATATACTTCATCACTTATTTCACTGTGTAGAGTATTGGAGGATAAGGACAACAATTCTAGTGAGACCGGCATTCCATTAATAAGTTTATCTGTCTTGTATTAATATTCTCGGTCATTTTCGGTCGTTCTTGTTTCGTTCGAGCTGTTCAGTACTGGTTTGCTAACTGTTAGAATTATGTTCGGTAATACAGTACTGAACATAATCCTTTCATTCAATACATAGGTTCCGAACATTAATGCAGATAGTTAGTTATGTAATTTTCTTTGTTAAACTAACTTAGAATGGAAAATAGTGAATTGGAATGGATTTAAGTTATGTATTTTGAATGGATTTAATTCATGTTATTTTAAGTTGTGAATTGGAATGGATTCAAGTTACACAGTGATGAACAAATTTTGTTTGGATATATACAGTGCTGACAGGATCATTATTGTTCAACAAAACAATTCTGAACAAAATACATTTTTTTCGACTACACAGTGGTGAACAAATTGTTTTGGGCTACATTCAGAATTCTGATAGCGATTCAAACGATGATTCTGTTTTTCCTCATCTTGCAAATGGTTATGCAAATCCCGTAGAAATTGGAGTATCTTCGATCGATCTCAGCGATGACGAAAATACAAAAAGCAACGAAGAAGATGATGATGAGAGGATAGGAGAGGTTACTGATTCAGCAATACGGAGAGCGTTCAGAGAAGATGAGAGTCGTCGGAATGCGCCGTTGACAACTGAGACGGTGACGAGAGTGATGGAGGGTTGGGGTCCAAGAATTTTATAGTGGACCAAAGCTCCAAACTCTGAAGATTGAGTGAGTTAGGGAAGGAAATGGATGAAAAATTAGGTGGTGTGCATTTCATTGTGAAAATATTATGAATATGGATAGACTTGGTAATAAGTGGGGTGTCCAAAAAAATATTATTAAAATTTAGGGTTTAGGGTTGGGGTCCAAAGAAATTGGGGGTCCAAAGAATTTCGGTAGGTGCTAATAGCAACACTCTTAATTTTATTGCAATTTTATCCCTAAGTGATATTACTATTTTAGACATCATACCCAATTCAAAACGTCTCAATGCACACATCCATCTAGACTTCACATTTGTTGAAGCTCCAAGTTTGTAGCTTCTTCCATTGAGCTAGAAGTGAAAGCACTCATTCACTCATTCGTAGCTTCTTCCAAGTTTGTAGCTTCTTCCATTAAGCTCCAAGTTCGTAGCTTCTCAGTGCACTCATTCATCATACATTAAGCTAGAAGGGAAAGCATCAACCTTCCTCATTCGTAGCTTCTTCCTCATTCATCATTGTTATGGAGGATTTGTCTTCTGAAAATCAGCAAATAAATGTTTATGAGAAATATAGCGAAGGAAATGTGAGTTTCTCTTCTTTTTTTTTTTTACAGCATCGTTCGGATAACCAGAGTCAAATTATATTATTTTGTTCAGAAATCTACTACCGAAATAAGTATTTAATTTCGGAAGTTGTTGTCCAAAAAAAGTATTTAATTTCGGAAGTTGTTGTCCGAAATAAGTTAACTTTACAACATTCAACTTCCGAAATTTTAAAATGAATTCGGACAACTACTTCCGAATGAAGTAAAAAAAAAAATTTCCCATTTTATATTCCAAATTTGCAAACTGCATACCAAATTTACAGTTTCGAATTGCAAAGTAATATTTATAATGCCATTAAAAATTTGTAATGTTATACAAAACATGTAGAAATATGTGTCAACTCAAGGAAGTCAGGTTTGCGCGGATTTTGTGCTGGATTACACTACTCAATTCACAACTGAACAAGTTCACTCTACGAAATTATAATAATTATGTTTCGAATTGCTCAACAAATGTAAATGTTTAATAATATTTATTTGACTTTGTAGGTATTCAAAAGTAAGGATGAATTGCTCAACTGGGTACGTGAAGTTGGAAAGAGAAATGGTTTGGTAATTGTAATCAAAACATCAGACTATGGTGGAGGGAAAAAAAGACCCAAGATGTATCTTGCTTATGAAAGGAGTGGCCAATATAAAGCGACAAAGAAGTTAAAATATGATGGCAACAATACATCAAGAATAATTGGTACGAAGAAGTGTGGTTGTCCTTTTGATATGAGGGCTCACAGGTTTACCACACATGATGAATGGACATTGACCGTAATATGCGGATTACATAACCATCCACCTGCGGAGCACCTTGAAGGACATCCATATACGGGGAGGCTATCAAAGGATGAGAAAGCATTGTTAATGGTAATTGGTACGAAGAAGTGTGGTTGTCCTTTTGATATGAGGGCTCACAGGTTTACCACACATGATGAATGGACATTGACCGTAATATGCGGATTACATAACCATCCACCTGCGGAGCACCTTGAAGGACATCCATAAGCGGGGAGGCTATCAAAGGATGAGAAAGCATTGTTAATGGATATGTCAAAGAGCATGGTTCGGCCAAAAGAAATCCTAGTAACCTTGAAACTGCGAGATGCCCTCAATGTAAGCACACTTAAAACCATTTACAATGTACGTCATCGAAACAGGGTGGTAAAGAGAGCTGGAAGATCACAGATGCAACACTTATTGGGTGAATTGGCCAAGTATAATTACATTGAGCGCCATCGGTCTGAAGAGTCCACGATGACTGTGACAGACTTGTTTTGGGCACATCCTACCAGTTTGGACTTATTTCGGTCTTTCCCACATATATTAATTATGGATTGCACATATAAAACCAACAGATATCGTCTTCCTCTTCTTGAAATTGTGGGAGTGACATCAACTGAAATGACTTTCTCTGTAGCTTTCGCATACTTACAGTATGAGAAGGTCGATAACTATGCGTGAGTGTTAGCTACATTGCGTGATGTCATGGTGTAGACACCCCATTTTTGACCGTCCTCAAGACTTGGACGTCATCGTTTGAACACTCAGTGATCATCCATATTCGTGTTTGTTTTGAGTTCCCGGAGGTCTCGGCTATGCGTCTTGCCTCAGGATCTCTCGACTTGCTTGTTCTATGCTTGGTTTTGCACCAAGGACTTGTGTGTTTTGTACCTGAGGGTAGAGAGTAGCTTGTTAGCTACCCCTGACATCCACCGGCCTTGGATTGAGGCCATTGGCCGTGTATTCTTGCTACCGGGCATTGGTGAAATATATCATTGGCCGGTCGGCACTTAGTGTGGTCAGCCGACCATCTGTTTGGCCGATGGCCTCCTTTTCTGGCCAGTGCCACATTTTTGCCTTTTTCAGGCATGGTGCAAGCCAGTTGTGCCAGCTGGAATGCACGGACCCTCCTCCCCATGCACGAGTGTGGCTGTTTTGCCCCTTTTATCCCTTTTTGGTCTAGCTTCTTGAGGAAGCTTGGACCTTTGTCTTAGCTTCCTCAAGAAGCTTGGACACCTGTCCCAGCTTCCTAAGGAAGCCTTGCACCCTTAGCTTAGCTTCCCTTAGAAGCCTTGACCTTTTTGAATAGCTTCCCTTGGAAGCTTAGTCTTTGCATTGTCTATATAAGAGACCCCTCTTCTCCTTTGATGGGTTCAGCAAAAACCAGAGCAAAATACATATATATATATCTGATATACATCTTCTCTCTCTATATCTCCCTCTCTCTCTTCATTTGTGTGTGTTTAAGGGCCTAAAAGGGTGATTTGTTGTTACTTTTGCACTAAAATACACACCATCACACCACACTTCGACTTGGGAGGTCTTGAGGGTTTGTTCTTGAAGTTTTAAGGTGGTTTTGATCATGAAAAAGATGCTAAGCTTGCTGTTCTTGAAGTGTTTTTCAAGGGTAACACTTTTGCTTTAGATTCCTCAATCTTGCACTAGTCTTTAACCTTTCTTGCTTACTGATTTAGACTTTGTGTATAACTAAAAAAAGTCTTGTATTTGCATGCTTAAGATACTTCATTAAGGTTGTTTTGGTGTTGGGGGTCGACCTCCCCCTCTAAGGTCTTGTTTGGCCCTTTTTGTGCTTCCATTGTTAAGCTTTGGTTACTTTGGTGTATTGGCCTTCTCACCACTGAAATCTAGTGGATTTTCAGTGGTAAAGAAGGGGGTTTGAAGTCTTGCATAGGGGAGGGACACCCCTCTCCCCTTTGTGTCTCATTTGTCCATGTTTTGGCCCATAAGGGTAGCATATGTACTTGGTTGTTTTTGGTCCCATTTCAGAGGTTCTTGGATATTATTTGGTCATATGTTGCCTCTGTCTTTGGTCGGATTTATGGCCCTTTACATGCATATTGTACTGGCCTTGCATTCCCCCATTTTGCCTAGAAATGTGCCTTGCATTTAAGCCATGATGCTTGCATGTTCTAGCTTAACTGCATGAAGGTTTTAGCATTATTTTGCCATGATCAAGGACTGTTGGGTGCTGATTTGACCATGTTTGCCATGTTTGGTATAGTTTCTATGTGTTTTGGCTTGTGAGCCTTGAGTGTGTAAGCCATAAGCATGCCTCATTTGGTCTATTTTTGGTGATTTGGAATCATTTGCCATGCCATTTCAGTCCATGTTTGATGCTTGCATACTTGGATTTGTTCTCCTTTCAATGCCTTAAAGAGGTGTAATCTTATGCTCCATGTTTTGGCTTTGGTGTATGCCTCTTTGCTTGAGTCATTTGGGATGCCATTTATGTAGATTTTGGGGCTTATTCTACCATACCATATCTCTGATTTTGTAGGTCTTGATATCCATGCTTACGCTTTTTTGGGTGCTCTTGAAAATTGCCTTCCATGCCTTAGCTTTAGGCCCTTTGGTTTGCATATTTGTTTTGCATGTAGGCACCTCCATTTTTGGGCATTTTTGGCCACTATTTTGGGGTGGGCTGAGGCCTTCTCATTTCAGTATAAGTCCATCCTTGCATACTTTGCATGTTTGACATGTTGCATTGCATTGGTTGCATGCTTATATTGCATCATGTTTGCATGTTACTTAGCTAAGTTGCATTATATAGTCTTGTTGTATGCTTGACATGTTCATATTGCATTAGTGTAGCCTTGCATGAGTTGCATCATTTTGCATTGTATATGGCATACATGCATTGCATCGCTTAGTTTGGGGTGTCAAACCAAGCATGAGGAGAGAGGTATGTTCGTACCCGAAGTGACGAAACACGTCTCAACCCTCGGTCGCCAATACCCTTGATCTCAACATGATAGGGTGTTAGCACTCATTTGTTTGTTGCATGCATCTACATTAAGTTGCTAACTTGGCTTCTTAGGCCATCATGCATCGAATTGCGTAGTTGATGGCCCGAGGGTCGAGGGCCATGCTCCCTTGAGTCCATTGCATGATAGGGAGTGTGGCCATGCTCACATTTGCTTGAAAATTCTATGTCATACACTGCTTGCCCTCTGCTGCTGTCAACTGCAGGATTCTGCAAGAAGCAATGGCCGGCCGGCCACCTACAATGCCGACCGACCATCAGTGGCTAGTCGGTGGTACAACAGTTGGCCGATAAGCATTACCATGGCCGGTGAACTTTAATTCTGGCTGGTGACATCCCAGAGCACTCAGAGGATGATTCAAAAGGGGTCTAGAGACTTTCAGAATTTTCAAAGGAGCAAGGCAGTGAAAACAGAGGCAGCAGTACTATGGTGGCGAGTTTCCAGGCGAGGCGAGTCAAGCATGCATCATTCACACATTCCGAGGCAGGGCTGCGGCCACCTTCCTTCTACATTTAATTTGTGAATTTTGTTAGGAATTCTATAATAATTAATTTAGCGGTATTCATTTGGTTGTGTAATATTTATTTCAAACCCTCCGAATGAGGGCAATTGCGTAATAAGTGTGCGTGAGTGTGTGTATGTCTCCAACCGCACGTCTTTTCTTCCTTTTATTTACTAGCTTCGATGGTTAGTTAAGGGCATGTTTCAATAGATCAGTAGCGATAGCATTGTTTGCATCCATTCATTTGTTTTCTGCACCGGGCTTCGCGCATCATTCTAACTGTATTTGTTTTTCAATTCCAAATTGAATACGTGTTAGTTTGTAGCATTTCACATGTCATTATAGATTAGCCGAGCCTATCTTAGTTGATTTTGCGATGTGTTTGATTAGCATCTTAACATGAACTAGGATCATGCATATGATTTATAACTAGTTTCTGTTTTGGCTTGGAGTACTCGGTAAGTTCTTTATGGCTTTAGCATCCTTGCACGCGTGTGAGTGTTGCCATGACAGCATGCTTACCATGAGGCTATTTGCTTATGTGATATAACTGCTTGAATGTGTGGATGGAGGTTGAATTACCTAAATTGGAATAATTGCATTAAAACTGTGAGTTTTAAGCCCACTAGATAGTGGCAAAACCATCTTTTCTAAAGCCCAACTTGAGGGTGGCAAAACCTGCATTTTAGCCTACTTGCGATTAGCAAACTATTTTCAAAACAACATGCAATGTTTTTGTTCCAATTTAGGCGATTTGGTCTATACTTGTTTGCTGTGCGCATAACATAGTAATTTTTAGGCTAATAACCGGAATAAGAACACATGTGTTTTCAAAAACTCGATATCATGTTTAGTAGTGGCCGATCTTTGATCTTCTTGCAGGGGGTGCTCATAGCTGACCTTCCCCAATCGTACCCAAGTTCCCGAGCCGAGGCAACTTTGGTGATGACGGACACGTGGCCTTTGGCACCGAGTCAGGGTTTCCTAAATTTCTCAAAATAAAATATTTAGGTGGCGACTCTGTATCTGGCAAAGCAGTCCATGTTTGGCACTTCTTTCTAAAAATCTGTTTTCCAAAACGATTTGCCAGATTTGGACTCTTTGGTTCAGATTAAGAACCGCGACAATTTGAGAGTCCGAACTGTAGTGAGCCCAAAACGAACAGAACGGGACTTATCCTCCCGGCGTGTTCGGGGACGTCTACACATGGATGGTTTTGTTGTGCCAACAATTATTGTTACTGGCAGAGAGGTAGCCTTGATGAGTGCCATATAGAAGATATTCCCAAGTGGCAGACATTTATTATGTCCTTGGCATATCAGTAAGAATGTATTGACCAAATGTAAGAAAATGTTTGAGACACAGCAGAAATGGGAGAAGTTCAACCATGAGTGGAACTCTTTAGTGTATTCATCTTTTGAAATTCAATACGATGAGCGCCTTAAATCATTACTTAAGGAATTCAGTAGTTATCCTGATGCAGTCAAATACGCCATGGATACTTGGTTGGTTCCTTACAAGGAGAAATTTATGGCGGCATGGACAGACATGTGTATGCATTGTGGCAATGTTACAACGAACCGGTAAGATTACTTTTGTTCAATATGTTATTAATAAGTGCCATCTACTTGATTTTAATTTGACTTACATTGAATTGAACAGGGCTGAGAGTGCACATGCAAAACTTAAAAGACAATTGGGTTCATGTCAAGTCTCATTTCAGGCATCATTTGAGAAAATACACAGTCTGCTTGAGTTGCAACACATTGATATCAAGGCTTCATTTGAGAAAAGTCTAACTGTTGTGCAACATCAATTTAAACCTTCTCAGTTCAGGGAGCTACGGGTTAATGTGTCTATCTCTACATTGGAGTATTTGCTTGTAGAGAGTAAGAGAGCCAATTCCATTAGTATTGATGTTAAAGCTTGTGGATGCATCCTTCGCCACACTCGTGGTTTACCTTGTGCCCATGAGATTGCTGACTACATCAGACAAGATCATCCTATACCACTTGCTACCATACACTCACAGTGGAGGCAACTTCATATCTCCATATGCAAGAAAGAAGAGGAAACGGAGGTGAGTTGTCATGCAGAAGTAGAGTTGTTTGTGCACAAGTTTAATGAAAGTGATAGAACCATGCGGTTGGAGCTTTTAAAGAAGTTGAAAGAGATTGTATATCCGGGAAGCACTTTTCTTGTTGAGCCGGAGGTGAAGTCCAAAACACGTCCTCGGGATCATAAGAAGATCAATGTTTCTACCCGTTGTGACCCGTGTACATTTGAGTTGGTGCAATCTGGACATGATTCCTTCTCACCTAGGGACACTCAAATCACTACATTAGCTTCTACTATGGAAACCAAGAAGAAGTGACCTGTTAAGGGAAAGGAGAAGGTGAATGCGAAAGGGAAGGTATATATTACTAGAACAGTGAAACCTGGTGCATATGCTGATGCTTTCCTTTCTGGGTTGAAACCATACATTAAGTTTGTCAAGGATGTAGCTGCAGATGAGAATTGTGGTTTCAGGGCTATAGCTGCTTCAATTGGTCATACAGAAGATGATTGGGCTCAGGTTAGGCGTGATCTATTGGATGAGCTGCACACACACAAAGAGGAATACATTACACTTTACAGGTCCTATGAAAGGTTTGAAGAATTGACAAGCATATTGTCAGACTTTGAAGACAGTCTTGGCTATACACATTGGATGACTATACCAGACATGGGGCATCTTGTTGCATCGTGCTACAATCTTGTGTTATACCACTTGTCTTTACAGCAATGTCTCACCTTTTTACCTCTTAGAACAGTACCAGTACCTCAACTTGATAGACGTGAGATTGCCATTGCGTTTGTCAACGAAAATCATTTCGTCCAGGTATAACATAAACTTATCAATTGGGTTTGTGCATGTACAAGAAGTTATGAGGTATGACCACTAACTCAATTGATATTTGGTGCAGGTTTTGTTGCAACCAGACCATCCAGTTCCTCCTATAGCCACTGATTGGTGAAAATACTGTCACTCTTGCGCTGTCGACTGGGGTGATGGATATGTGCGTTGCATTCAACATTTCAAGGACATTATTCATGATAATGTA